TGATGTGGCTTCTCAAGAAAGAGATCTGGTGATCTATTTCAGTAAAGATGACAGCCACAATGACCCTATGGAGCAGTCCTAGTCTATCACATGGGGTCACTAGGAGCCTGAATCATCTCAAAAGCACCCACTAACAATGACAACCCTTACGAAAGCAGATTGCCATACCTTTCTTTCATAGTCCCACTGAGTGAGTTCAAACTGCCAACCTTTCCAATTAGTAGCTGAGTGCAAAGCCACTTAGAGACCTCTGTAGGGGTGGGGAGAGAGAAATTAGAGTTGAACTGTTGCAGAGCATCACTTCTCAAGAAGATGTGGCCTGCAGATTGCCTACATCAGATTCCCGGGTCTCACGCCAAACTACTGAAACCAAAGTACATCCTCAAGTTTTAAAACCACTGCTCTAGGGTTTGGACTAGGGAGACTGTTGACACCCTAAAAATCTTAATGTACCAGAGGCTAGCATTGCAAGGACACCTCTATTCAAGGGAGGGGAAAAAAGAATTCCAAGAGGTAAGACTAGATACACACAAAATCACTGCTGCAGTGAAAGCCAATACCACTAGGGGGCAGGGCACACACAAACTTGCCGAAATAAAAGGCAGTCCCTCCAGTCTCTAGGTAAACTGAGACCAGAGCAAGGGCCTTGTAGATCCAATTTTCTAGTACTTAGCTATGGGTCAGAACCAACTGGATGGCACTTAACAACAACCACAAGTTGAAGCTGGTACTTAAACCCACCCTGACCATCAAAACTCACCCTCTGTCTCAGATACTCAGACCAAGCGTTGTTGTTTTTGTTAAGCTGTCCAGATGGTTCTGGCTCAGCGACCCTGTATAGGGTTTTGGAAGAACACCTGTTAGGTTTGAACTCTGACCTTGTGGTTCAAACTGGCCTCGTGGTCCAGTGCTTATTCTACCAGATTGATACCAGGACCAAGAATAGGGGTAAGGATTATCGCAGAACACCTTATTTCCCAGGTGAGCAAACACTAATGCGTGGCCATCAAATGGTCAAGGAGTACAGAGGACACTGCCTTTAGAATAAGATGGTTGTTATTAAGTGCCATGAGTCAGTTCTAACTAATAGTGACCCTGTATATGGTTTCTGAGAAGCAGCTGGTGGGTTCAAATCGCCCAACTTTTGGTTAGCAGTCCATTGTTTATCCTACAACACCACACTAGGACTCCTTAGACTAAGGTTATTGTTGTTGCTAAGTGCCATCGAGTCAGTTCTGACTCATAGCAAGTGCTGTATAGGGTTTTTGAGGAGCGGCTGGTGAGTTTGAACCACCAACCTTGCAGTTCAAACCTACTTGCAGTCCAGCACACTAACCCACAGTGCCATACCAGAACGCCTAGAATAAGGTAGGCTTTAAATCCTGATACCAGTTATTAGCCATCTGACCTTGGGCAAGTTATCTAAGGTAGTCAGCTTCCTGGTTATCAAATGGGTATAAAAATATCTTCCTGTGGTTTGGATTAAACAAAACAAGGTATGCAAAGTGGTTAGAATGGTCTCTGCCTTCTGGTAAGTGCTCCATAAATGGCCGGTTGTAAGTTAGAACTGCCCAAGGTCATGTGACCAAGCACATTAGAGGCTCCAGCTGTCACTTGAAGAGGAAACAGATCATGGCTGAGCCATTCCTGTCTTCTCTCGCTCTCTTTTTTTTTTTTTTTTTTTAGCATTTTATTGTGATTTGGGTGAATGTTTACAGAACAAATCAGATTTCCTTCAACAGTCAATACACATTTTGTTTGCTGACACTTGTTGCAGTCCTCTCAATGTACAACACTTGCTACTTCTTCCATGGGTTCCCCATTTCCATTCCTCTTTCTTTTTCTGCTCTTTCCTGCCTTCTAAACTTTGTTTTGGGGCACTTGCTGCCCATTTGCTCTAGTCTGGTTGTTTATTTGGTCTTCTTCTCTATTTTCAGGTCTTTGTTTGTTACCTGCCCTGGAGTTGGCCTCCAATTCATGGAGACCCCCATCCACAATGAAACAAAAACCTTGCCAGTCCTGTGCCATCCCCATAATCCATTAAGGAGCCAACAATAGTGTTTCCATTGACTGCTTTTCAGGTAGTAGATGGCCAGGCAAGGAGCTCTGGTGACACAGAGGATCACACTTGGCTGCTAGCTGGAAGACTTGAGGTTTGAACCCATCAGTAGCTCCACAGGAGAAAGATGTGGCAGTAAGTAAAGATTTGTTAAGTGCTATCGAATTGGCTTTAATTCATAGCACAACAGAACAAAACACTGCCCAGTGCTGTGCCATCCTCACAACCCTTTAATCACTTGAGTTCATTGTGTCAGTCCATCTTGTTGGGGGTCTTCTTCTTTTTCACTGACCTTCACTTTACCAAGCATGATGTCCCTCTCCAGGAATTGGTCCCTCCTAGTAATATATCAGAAGTATGAAAGATAAAGTCTCACCATCCTGGCTTCTAAGGAGCATTCTGGCTGTACTTCACTTTCTGCATATGGCAGGTTATCAATGAGTCTTTCTCCAATTTTACTACCATGTTCTTCATATAATCCAGCTTCTTGAATTATTTGCTCAGCATACAGATTGAATAAGTATGATGAAAATTTTAACCTTGATGCACACCTTTCCTGATTTTAAACTATTCAGTGTCCCCTTGGTCTGTTAGATCAGTTGCTTCTTAGTCTATGTACAGGTTCCTGATGAGCACAATTAAGTGTTCCAGAGTACCCATTCTTCACAGTGTTGTCCATAGCTTGTCATGATCCACACAGTTGAAAGCCTTTGAATAGTCCATAAAGCACAGGTTCTGCTTTTAGCCAAGATTCATCTGACGCCAGAAATATTCCACATTCCACATCCGAATCTGAATCTGGCTTATATCTCTGGCAGTTCCCTGCTAATGTACTGCTGTAGCCATTTTTGAATTATCTATAGCAAAGTTTTGGAGTCCTGGTGTGGCGCTGTGGGCTAATGTGTCAGACCGCAAAGTCGTCTGAACTGCCAGGTCGGTGGTTCAAGCTCATCAGCTACTCCTTGGAAACCCAATAAAGGGTCGCTATGGGTCAGAATCAACTCAACAGCACTTAACAACAACAACAACATAGCAAAGTTTTACTGGCATGTGATATTAATAATATTGTCTGATGATTTCTGCATTCCTCTCTTTGGCCTGGCACAAATATGGATCTCTTTCAATCAGTTGGCCTGGTAACTGTCTTCCAAATTTCTTGGTATCTGTGAAAGACTGGTGGTGGCTGTGTGCCATGGAGTCAGTTCTGACTCCTAGTGACCCTATATAGGGTAAGGCTGTAAATCTTTACGGGAGCAGAAGGCCTCATCTTTCTCCTGCGGATCAGCTGGTAGTTTCGAACTGCTGACCTTGTGGTTCGCTGCCTGATTAGTAACCACTATGCTACCAGAGCTCCTTTGTGAAAGACTACAATGTTGGAAACACATTGAGGCAGTTCTACTCTGTTCTGCAGGGTTGCTATGAGCCTGAATCAAGTCGATGGGTTACTTGCAGGCCTTTTTTCCTTATTCATCTTAGTCTGGAAGTTCCTTCAAAAACCTGTTTCTGTATCAAAGCAACACAAAAGTCTGTACTAAAAGATTAGTGGTGGCAGCTCATGAGGTGACATTGGCCAGGAATTGAGGTGAAAATTCTACCAATGAGTAACTCGTGTCCTTTCGTTTTTCTTGTGTGCCTGTCTAGTGTCCCCGTACCTCTATATGAAACTCCTTCTAGAAGGGAGATTCAAATAAAAGAGTTAGTGGTTTCTCTGCAGTAAATGGCCTAGTTGTCCCCTGAAGAAATCTTGTAGTTTTGGTGCCAACTGATTTCTGTGTCTGGTTTCTGTTCCCTATCCTGTGCTGCACTCTCCCCAGCCACTCTCTTTAGCATCTACAAGGCTCTCTGGTATCACAGGGACAGGAGACCTTCCCCAGGAAGCCTTAGGGGTTAGAATTCTTTCTAAGAACCAGGACTCTGAGCCTGTGCCACTTGTCTTACTTAGATCTTCCAAAGGCTTTTTTCAAATCTTTTTTCGAAGGACTGTGAGAGGGCTATCAAGAGGCAGGACCTCCCCAGAGCATAAAGTCTGGGCACCAAGTTTTTAGCCTTCATTTTGCCACTTTGGGCAAGCCTCCTTGGCGTCTCTTGTTTATCACCTGTGATGTATAAACAACAGTAACTGCCCTCTTACCTCATAGAGTGTTGTGAGGGCCAAATGGAATGCTACTGATGATGTTTTGGAAAACTAAAAGCTTGTTTTGAAAGGTAGCATGGAGGTGCTGAGGAATTCTGGTGTGGTGCTGCAGGTTAATGCGCTGGACTACAAGGTCAGTTTGCAACCATAAGGTCGGAGTTTCAAACTCATCAGCGTCTCCTCTGAAGCCTACTCGACAGCACTTAACAACAACAATGGAGGTACTGAGGAGACCTGATGTCAAAAGTCCCAGCGCTGCTGCCGACTGTGTATGTAGCTGTGCATGTAGTTTTTTCCCTTTTGACCTGAGTTTTCTTATCTGTAAGATCTGAGGGTGGGATAAGTCCTCTAAAGGCTAGGATCTCTGGGAGGAGACTACCTAGGTCAGCTTTTTAAGCGCGCAAGAAGAAGTGGGGAGGGGAGGAAAATATCTCTTGAGTCCTTCAACATCTCCCTCCCTTGAATCCAACGGGGTCTCCAGTAGGTCCTTCCAGCCCAAGGAAGCGAAACCCGCACAAGGCCAGAGTAGATCGGTTAGATAGTAAGGTGCCTACCACGCGATGGCGCAGGCGGGAGACGGGTCCGGCCCTTCCCCTTCGAGCCACGTGCGGTTGTTTCCGTGCCGGCGCGATCACGTGACTCTCATCAGCTGACCCGTCATGGTAGAGCCCAGCACTGGAGATCTGCAGCTCCCGCCCTGCCGCTACCTGACAGCTGCATCTTGTGAGGGGTAAGAGCGACCCCAGCCCTCCCCTCCTCTGCTCTCTGGCCCACCCTAGCCGACTTAGTACCATCCCTTCTCCTTCTCCATCTCACGCCACCCAGCTTGGTACCCCGGAAGTCGTCTCAAGACGGGCTGTGGCTGTGTTCAGCCCCGCGCTGCCCCTAGGTAGTCGGGGGGAGGGGGGAGGTGATGGCCTTGGGGAGTAGGGAGCAGGAAGTCACTGTTACTACCGGAGCTCAGGGCAGGTCCCAGTCCCCAAGCCCCGATATGGAGGGACTGCTCCGGAGCGTGGAGAGGGACCTGAACATCGATGGACGGCAGCTAGCTCTAGCCCCGGGGGGCACTCACGTGGTGGCCTTGGTGCCTGTGCGCTGGCTGGCCAGCCTCCGTGAGCGCAGGCTGCCGCCAGGACCCTGCCCCAGGGCCGAGGGCCTAGGCGAAGGGGAAGTCAGGACTCTCCTGCAACGCTCTGTGCAGAGGTTGCCCGCGGGCTGGACTCGAGTGGAGGTGCACGCTTTGCGGAAACGGAGGCTTTCCTACATGCTGGGCGGGGGTCTGCCCTTTGAGGAGGGTTCCAGCAGCCCTGAAACGCTCACTCGCTTCATGCAAGATGTGGCTGCCCAGAATTACCGCAACCTGTGGCGCCATGCATACAATACTTATGGGCAGCCTTATAGTCACAGCCCTGCCCCCTCAGCTGTCCCTGCTCTGGACTCAGTAAGGCAAGCTCTGCAAAAGGTCTATGGTTGCTCCTTCATGCCAGTGGGTGAAGCTACCCAGTGCCCATCGTATGGCAGAGATGGTCCCTGCCCCCCTCGAAGCAGCCCAGCCTGCCCTAGTCTTTTGCGAGCTGAAGCTTTGCTGGAGTCACCAGAGATGCTCTATGTGGTACATCCATATGTCCAGTTCTCCCTGCATGATGTGGTTACCTTCAGCCCTGCAAAACTGACCAACAGCCAAGCCAAGGTGCTCTTCATTCTCTTCCGGGTGCTGCGGGCCATGGATGCCTGTCACCGCCAGGGGTTGGCTTGTGGGGCCCTGTCTTTGCACCACATTGCTGTGGATGAGAAGCTTTGCAGTGAGCTCCGCCTGGACCTAAGCGCCTATGAGAGGCCTGAGGAGAATGAGAACCAAGAGACTCCTGTAGCAGGAGATGGGGCAGGCACTGAACCTGAACAGGAGCGTAGAGAAGGACCTGTATGTCTCACCTGCCAGGAGGAACTTAAAAACCTTGTACTAGACTGGGTCCATGGTCGTATCAGCAACTTCTACTACCTCATGCAGTTGAATCGGCTGGCAGGTCGGCGGCAGGGGGATCCCAACTACCATCCAGTGCTGCCCTGGGTAGTGGACTTCACCACGCCCCATGGGCGCTTCCGAGACCTGCGCAAGTCTAAGTTCCGCCTCAACAAAGGGGATAAGCAGCTGGACTTTACCTACGAGATGACACGACAGGCGTTCGTGGCAGGTAGTGTGGGCAGCGGGGAGCCACCTCACGTGCCTCACCATATCTCCGACGTGCTCTCTGACATAACATACTATGTATACAAGGCTCGACGCACACCCCGGTCGGTGCTCTGTGGACATGTCCGGGCACAATGGGAGCCCCACGAGTATCCTGCCAGCATGGAGCGCATGCAGAACTGGACCCCCGACGAGTGTATCCCTGAGTTCTATGCTGATCCCTCGATCTTCTGTTCCATCCACCCGGACATGCCTGACCTTGATGTGCCAACCTGGTGCAGTTCTGGTCAGGAGTTCGTGGCTGCCCACCGGGCCCTGTTGGAGAGCCGTGAGGTGTCCCAGGACCTGCACCACTGGATCGACCTTACCTTTGGCTACAAACTCCAGGGCAAGGAAGCTGTGAAGGAGAAGAATGTGTGTCTGCACCTGGTGGATGCCCACACCCACCTGACCAGCTATGGAGTGGTGCAGCTCTTTGACCAGCCGCACCCCCAGCGCTTGGCTGGCATATCTGCCCTTACCCCTGAGCCTCCGCTTATCCCCAGGCTGTTTGTCCAGCCCATCCAGGAGACCACAGGCCGGGAGGACTTGCCAGGACAGCTGACAAATGGAGTGGGTAGACGTGTTTTGGAGGCCACTTCTTGTGAGGCTGGATGGACCAGAGACAGGCCCGTGGCAGGGGAAGATGACTTGGAGCAGGCCACGGAAGCTCTGGATTCCATCTCCCTCGCTGGGAAAGTGGGCGACCATGTGGTTTCCTCCTCCTCCAGCCAAGTCCCCGCTGGCCTCCTGTCTTTCTCTGTAACCTCAGCCTCTCGCCCAGGCCGCAGAAGTAGAGCTGCTGGAACAGACCCTGGGGAGAGTGAGGAGGGGAAAATTCTTCTCCCTGAGGGCTTTAGTCCCCTGCAGGCTCTGGAGGAACTGGAGAAACTGGGCAATTTCCTGACCAAAGGCCTAGGGGGTCAGCTGGAGGTACCTGAGCAGATTCAGGTCCCACCACCTGTGCAGCTTCGGGACCTCTTTCATCGGGACATGCAGGCACTGGGGATCTTATTGGCTGAGATGGTCTTTGCCACCAGGGTCCGGACGCTACAGCCTGACGCGCCTTTGTGGGTACGCTTTGAGGCTGTGCGGGGGCTCTGCATACGCCATCCCAAGGAGATCCCTGTGTCGCTGCAGCCTGTGCTGAACTCACTCCTGCAGCTGAGTGCACCTGAAGGCCCCCGGGTTGGGGACAGGGGCAAACTGGACCTGCTGTTTGAATATAGGCCTGTCTCTCAGGGACTGCCCCCACCCTGCCCGGCCCAGCTGCTCAGCCCCTTTAGCTCTGTGGTTCCCTTTCCCCCGTACTTCCCGGCACTACACAAGTTCATCCTCCTGTATCAGGCGAGACGTGTGGAGGATGAGGCCCAGGGCCGGGAGCTGGTGTTTGCTCTGTGGCAGCAGTTAGGTGAAGTGCTGAGTGACATCACCCCTGAGGGCTTGGAGATCTTGCTGCCCTTCGTGTTGTCTCTCATGTCCGAAGAGCACACGGCTGTGCATACAGCCTGGTACCTATTTGAACCTGTTGCCAAGGCTTTGGGCCCCAAAAACGCCATTAAGTACCTACTGAAACCTCTCATTGGTGCCTATGAGAGCCCCTGCCAACTCCACGGCCGCTTCTACCTGTACACCGACTGCTTTGTGGCCCAGTTGATGGTTCGGCTGGGTCTGCAGGCTTTCCTCATCCACCTGCTGCCCCATGTCCTGCAGGTGCTGGCTGGGGTGGAAGCCTCCCAGGAGGAAAGCAGGGGCCTGGCAGGGACAGTGGAGGATGAGGACAGCGGGCCCCCAGGGGCCGGGCCAGGCTCCTGTGCCTTTGGGGAGGAGATTCAGATGGATGGGGAGTCCACTGCCTCCTCAGGCCTGGGGCTACTGGATTACACTTCTGGTGTCAGCTTCCATGATCAGGCTGACCTGCCCGAGACTGAGGACTTCCAAGCCGGACTCTATGTGTCTGAGTCACCGCAACCCCAGGAGGCGGAGGCTGTGAGCCTGGGCCGGCTCAGTGACAAGAGCAGCACCAGCGAGACCTCCCTGGGCGAGGAGCAGGCAGCTGATGAGGGGGGCGCCCCTGTGGACAAGAGCAGCCTCAGGTCAGGGGACAGTAGCCAGGACCTGAAGCAAAGTGAGGGCTCAGAGGAGGAAGAAGAGGAAGAAGGCTGTGTGGTGTTGGAGGAGGAGGGGGAACTGGACGAAGGCACAGGGACGTCTGAACTCACTCTATCTGACACGGTGCTATCCGTGGATACGGTGGTGGCTGGCGTGGGAGATGGGGAGGAGGAAGAGGAGCCGCTGACTGAGCATTCGGAGGGCAAAGAACAGAAGATTCTCCTTGGTAAGTCCTCAGGCCTAGGAGAGCCCACCACTCACCTTGCCTTTTACACTGAAGCAGTGGCTGAGTGCCTGCTGTGTGCAGTCAAAGCTGCATGGAGTCAGAGCTGCAGGCTCAAGTGTGGATGGGGGCCTGTCCACACATGGCAGAGGGGATGCAACGTAGCCCTGTGAAGCAGTGGTATGTCAGTGCAGAATGTGTTAGCAGGAAGGTGAATATGCCTGGGTTATTGGAAAGGGATGTCACCTGGGGATGTCGTGTCCAGGAGCCATAGAAGGCCACTCTGAAAGTAGAGCCCATTGACGTTTAAGGAGTAGGAGGCAGCCAGGCAAAAATGGCAGGGTCTGAAGTGGGAGAAGCTTTCTAAGCAGAGGGACCAGCATTTGTGAGGCTCTGAGGCTGCCCTGGTCCCATGACAAGATCAGTAAAAGGCTAGCATGGGTAGACTTGAAAGAGCAGAGGGGAGAGAGTTGGTCACAGGACCAGCCAGGCCTCATTCAGGAAGTGGGGGCGGGTTCCCTGTAAGGTAACTCTGCTGCACATTATGTTTGAAGTTGGGAGCCTGGAGAAGTCTCAAACCCAGAGTCCCAAAGGCCTGGGCCTGGGGCAACTTGTGTCACTGCAAAATGGACGGTAGTGGTGTGGGCCAATGCTCAGGGTTAGGTGGGGCCCCTGAGCAGTGAGTTGTAGCCAGAGATGTTGGGTGGGGAGAGGTGAGGTAGGGGAAGTGGTGAACCACTGTAATCTGATGAGCTCAGAGCCTGCTTCTGCCCTGCAGATACGGCCTGCAAGATGGTCCGCTGGCTGTCTGCCAAACTCGGCCCTACTGTGGCCTCCCGCCATGTGGCCCGGAACCTGCTCCGCCTGCTGACGTCTTGTTATGTTGGTAAGGACTGTGGTCAGTGTGGGAGATGACCACCACAGTCATTCCTGCTCTCCGCCAGCATCTTAAGACTATGTTCTTACCTTGGCAGGGCCAACTCGGCAACAGTTCACGATGACGAGCAGTGATGAGAGTCCCCCGCTAAGTGCTGGCAACATCTATCAGAAGAGACCGGTTTTGGGTGATATAGTGTCGGGGCCTGTGCTCAGCTGCCTTCTCCACATAGCCCACCTTTATGGGGAGCCCGTCCTCACCTACCAGTACCTGCCCTACATCAGCTATTTGGTCAGTCACCAATCAGACATAGGGGAGGGGATGCTGAGGAGCCTGAGGGCTGGCTCAGAATCTCTGGGGGCAGAAGAGGAAGCTTGGGGCAGCTTAGCGCTCATCTGCTCTGTGACCCTAGGTGGCCCCGGGTAGCACTTCAGGTCCCAGTCGACTGAACAGCCGCAAGGAGGCAGGGCTTCTGGCAGCAGTGACATTGACCCAGAAGATCATCGTGTATCTCTCGGACACCACTCTCATGGACATCCTTCCCCGCATCAGTCACGAGGTCTTGCTGCCCGTGCTGAGCTTCCTTACATCCCTCGTCACGGGGTAGGCCTCCCTCAGCTGGGAAGCTTAGGAAAGACGAAGTAATATTAGACTGGGTATCAGGGTCCCTCAGTGGCCAAGCAGTTTGCACTTGGAGGAAAGGCTTGGTGACTTTACGTTCATAAAGGTTACAGTCAAGTGGAGCTCAGTTCTCGTCTGAGACACAGGGTCCTCATGAATCAGAATGAACTTGACAGTAATGGGCTTGGTTTGTTTTTTTTTCCCAGGGAGTATTAGGAATCTCAGGTTCTGGTTCTGACTGCATGAATCTGAGCAAGCCACTCCTTTTTTCTGTGCTTTAGTTTTCTTGGTTTCAATAGGTTGGTTTTATAAAGTCCAACAGAAGGAGGGGCTGAGCTCGTGAACTCTTATTTCCAGGTTCCCAAGTGGAGCCCAAGCTCGGACTGTCCTGTGTGTGAAAACCATCAGCCTCATTGCCCTCATCTGCCTGCGCATTGGACAGGAGATGGTCCAGCAACACCTGAGTGAACCCGTGGCTGCCTTCTTTCAAGTCTTCTCCCAGCTGCATGAGCTTCAACACCAGGTGGACAGACCCGCTTGCCTGGCTGAGGGGAGCTGGGGTGGGGTAGGTGCCTTCGGCTGACTTGTTGAGCTTACTGCCACCAGGATGTGAAGCTGGATCCTGTGGGCCGTGGTGAGGGCCAGCTGCCGGAGGTGGTCTTTTCCGATGGACAACAGCGGCCAGTGGACCCCAGCCTGCTGGACGAGCTGCAGAAGGTGTTCACATTAGAGATGGCGTACACAATCTACGTGCCTTTCTCCTGCCTGCTGGGTACTGACCCCTCGGCCTCCTTTGCACAGCCTTTGTGGCTACCTCTTGCTCCCTGGGAGGGCCCATGCTTTTCCTGCCCCCAGAAGCAGCAGTGGGTGTTAAGTGCAGTTTTCTGGGTAAGAACAAAGGGATTTGGCCTCATGTTCTGGATCCCAAGGTGACATAGAAATTGAAACTGGGCTTTAGCTAGCAAGAAAGGAACAGGGACCCTCGGTATTGAATCTCCTTGGGGGCAAGTAGGGGGAGTCAGGTGAACATGTGACATTCTCCAAGAACTGTCTGAGAGGGAATGAGCGGCCCCTTAGTAATAGCTAAGTTAATACGAGTTAAGGCCCCTGGGCTGCACAGCTGGTTTACATTCAGCTGGTAACCCCAAGGTTGGCAGTTTGAACCCAGCCGGCAGAGCTGTGGAAAAAAGGTATGGTGATCTCCTCCTTAAAGATTACAGCCAAGAAAACCCCGCGCAACCGCAGCCCTTCTACTCTAACAGTATAGTCGTCATAAGATGGAATTGACAGGGGGTTGGTGTTTTTCCACAGAGGCCAGGCACTGCTGAGCATTTGTGTGTGTCATCTGTGATTAGGTCCCGTTCCATCACCTTTGCTGAAACATAAACTCTGTGAGGGCAGAGAACTGCCCTGTTCGCTGCTCTCTTCCTGGTGCCTCCAATGGTGCCCAGTGTATACCAGAGACTCTGCCGTATTCATTTGCACTGAATGAAGGGAGCCACATTTACTGGGGAGCTTGAGAAGAGCCACCTGGCCAGTTACACAGCCAGTAGTGGCCCTGTCTCCTGTGGTTCTCAAGCTCTTGGGTGGGTGGTGACAGCTCCCTGCCAGCTTCCCTTAACTTAGGACCTCCTTTTCTCCCATCCAGGTGACATCATCCAGAAAATCATCCCCAATCACGAGCTGGTAGGGGAGCTGGCGGGACTGTATTTGGAGAGCCTTAGCCCGAGCAGTCGCTGCCCAGCCAGCTTGGAGCCCACCATTCCAAGCACCGACCCTGAGTGGGACCCCCAGGGCAGGGGCTGCCCCCAGGATGACGGCCACTCAGGGACCTTTGGGAGTGTCCTGGTTGGAAATCGCATCCAGATCCCCACAGACTCACAGCCTGAGAGCCCCGGGCCTCTGGGCCCCATCTCTGGGGTGGTGGGTGGTGGGGGCCTCGGCAGCGGCAATCAGAACCACGTCCTGAAACAGGAGTTGCCACGCAGTGTGCACGGGCTGAGTGGGAACTGGCTGGCATACTGGCAGTATGAGATCGGTGTGAGCCAGCAGGATGCTCACTTCCACTTCCACCAGATCCGCCTGCAGAACTTCCCTGGCCACTCTGGGGCTGTCAAGTGTGTGGCGCCCTTGAGCAATGAGGACTTCTTCCTGAGTGGCAGCAAGGACCGGACAGTGCGACTCTGGCCACTCTACAACTACGGGGACGGTACCAGTGAGACAGCCCCGCGCTTGGTCTACACCCAGCACCGCAAGAGTGTCTTTTACGTGGGCCAGCTTGAGGCCCCGCAGTATGTGGTTAGCTGTGACGGTGCTGTACACGTCTGGGACCCCTTCACAGGTGAGCGGGCTCAGGTGAGGCCTGTTCTGTTGCCACCATACTATGCGCTGCCAGACCTCTTGGATGGGACCTAAGAATGGGGAGAGTTGGGCTGTTAGGGTGTACGTGTTTGGGGAGACCACATGAGACCACACAGAGGAGCTGGTAAGGGCAGAGTCAGTTAGACCTGACTGAATTGTCTACACGAGTTTTCTTGTTAAGTGACCTTGAGCAAATCACTCTGCTACTGAAAGCCTTGAACTGCTTTGAACTTGAAGGTCAGTGGTTCAAGCTTACCAGGTGCTCCTCAGAAACCCTATACAGAGTCGCTATGGATTGGAACCGACTCTACAGCACTTAACGAAAACAACAAAATGGGAATCAGAAACACTATTCTAGAGGGTGACTTGACTTAACATGTAGCACATAGTACACACTTGGCAAACGGTTACCTGATTCGTTTTTGGCATCGTAGGGTGAAATGTGGTTGAAAAGGAGAAGGTGATGGAGTAGTGTTGGGGTGGACAGAGGGAGGTGGCATTTGGTTGGGGTACTGTGTGACAACAAGAGGTTCCTTTGGGGACAGGAGCCTGGCCTTGCCATGGAAGCGGAAAGTAGAAGGATCAAGAACAGCTACAGCATTTTTCTGAGGACCCTGGGAGCCTGTGGGCCTAGGAGAGGGGTGGGGGTGGGGCAGGCCTGGGGGCTAGGCGGAGGCCAGGGCTTTCCCATCTAGTGCTGGGACGTCACATCTACTGCTTGCATCCCCCCAGGGAAGCAGCTTCGCACAGTAGAGCCATCTGACAGCCGGGTGCCCCTGACGGCTGTGGCTGTCATGCCCGCCCCGTACACCAGCATCACCATGGCCAGCTCGGACTCTACCCTGCGCTTCGTGGACTGTAGGAAACCCGGCCTGCAGGTGGGTCAGCAGGGCACACACCCTTCTGAGTCCTGGAAGGGAGTGGAGATCCAAGAAGAGACAGCCAGGGTGTTTTCCCCAGAACACTTAGATACGTCACCCATAACAGCTGGGAGTGAGGCTAGCACTCTAGTCTCTGATGGAAAGTAGGAGAGATCTAGGAGGGGAGAGGACAATGGACTTTTCCCTCCCTTGGGTCAGGGGCCAGGTCTGACTCTCCTACTTCATGGGCTTGGTTGGTGGGGAAGGGGAAATGGGATGGGGTGGGCGGGGCCCCTCATTCATTCTCCCTGCCTGCAGCATGAGTTCCGCCTGGGTGGTGGGCTGAACCCTGGACTCGTCCGCTCCCTGGCGGTCAGCCCCAGTGGCCGCAGTGTTGTGGCCGGCTTCTCTTCGGGTTTCATGGTGCTCCTGGACACTCGCACAGGCCTGGTTCTTCGAGGCTGGCCTGCCCATGAGGGGGACATCCTGCAGATTAAGGTGAATATCAGGCCCATTGCCTTCCTCACTGCCTAGCCTGGTTTCACCCCCCGCCCCCCAACCATCCCCTCACCTCTGCCGACACCTGCCCAAGAATGGACAGAGGGACTGGGAGGATGGCTGTCGTGGAGCAACTCCAGAGTGACCTGCACTGCAGGGTCCTGGGCAGAAGGCTGGCCGTGGGGGCGGGAGCCAGGGGTCGAGCTGACCCTGCTACTTCCTGGAGATGTTCTAATGAGTAACTCTTGTCCATATTTGTCTTGCTTGGAGGATCAGGGGTCAGGCCCTGTCCGTGACCCAGTTCAGGTTAAATAAAGCTCAGTTGAGAGGCTGTTTACTGCCCCCCAGCCTACTGAGCAGAGTTCATGCCCCTTGCTGCCCCCCCCCCCCCCTTTATTAATACCTGGGCTCAGGGAAGGAACAGGATTACTTGTGGGAGGTTTGTTTTTTAGACAACAGGTACTCTCACCCCCATTCTGTATGGAAGTCAGAGGACAGGCTACTGCTAAGGACAAGCTGCCCCAGCCTCCCTACAGTGACCCTGGACTCCAGGTGTCTCTATAGTCAGACATTTCAAGAAGGAGCAGGAAGACTCTGGGTCAGCCTCGGGCTTAATCCTGCCTCTCATTTACTGATTTCTTCATCTGTTCATTTCTCTGAGCCTCAGTGTTTCCCTGTGTAAAATGAGCACAAGAATAGCATTTACCTCACAGAGTTGTTATGAACATTAAATGTGTAATGCTACATGCCTAGCACATAGTAACTTCTCAAGACATAGTGATTAGGTTAATAACATTTCAGCACACTCGTATTCCCTGTGACATGCTCTCAGAGGAATGGGAAGTCCACCTGCTGAGACGTTCCTCTCCCTCTGCAGGCAGTGGAGGGCAGCGTCCTGGTCAGCTCCTCCTCAGACCACTCCCTGACTGTCTGGAAGGAGCTAGAACAGAAACCCACACATCACTACAAGTCGACATCCGACCCCATCCACACCTTCGACCTGTATGGTAGCGAGGTGGTCACTGGCACTGTGGCCAACAAGATCGGCGTGTGCTCCCTGCTTGAGCCCCCCTCCCAGGCTACCACCAAACTCAGCTCCGAGAACTTCCGCGGCACTCTGACCAGCTTGGCCTTGCTACCCACCAAGCGCCACCTGCTGCTGGGCTCAGACAATGGGGTCATACGTCTCCTGGCATAGGCTGATTTAGGGGCTGGTGGGCCTGGTTTGACAGACACCACCCCTTCCGAGTCCTCTCC